AGTTTTTTTATACCGGCAAAGGTGGCTTCGAGCATCAGCTGATGTCGGCAGTATCTCTGACCGGGAGGTTGTAGGGTTCGAACCCCGACGGTGGCAAGAATATGAATGTTGCACGGTCGAATTCAGCCGCTGTCTGGAGGAGAATTCTAGCGATCGGTTGCTCTATAAGATAGTTGATTTCTCCCATCAATACCAGGCGAATCCCGGAGCAGTATCCTAACAAATGGGCCTCGGATCGCGCGCGATCTTTCCTACCTCTTCATGTCCTTTCCTCCCCTTTACTTACACACTCGTACACTGCCATGCATTACACTACCACACATGTCGGGAGACCATTCGGGAGCTTAGATCTTGTCCCGGCTTGGGCAGTGCCACGCTGGTAAGAGATACCTGTTTGGCGAAAGTGAGGTATTACCCTAGCTCCCACCGACCTACCCGCAAGCCGACGGGTAGGTCGGCCGAATCTCGCCATCCAGAGGGGAAGATCACAGCTACCTCCTGAGAAAAACCATGCACTCCACTTATGGGACTAACGACCTTAGTTATTGACGCGCCTGGAATTACTGATCAATCAATTAAGTTTTTTTTTATTGCGATGCCAGCCCCCATTGTCGAAGACGTTGTGTGCGTACGGTTAAAGTGCGTGTGGATGCTCATGGAGTCGCGGTTTCAATTTACGGTTTAGAAGTTTGTCTCCTGAGAGTAATGTTCAAAGGGCCTCGTCCCTTTCTGACACTAACACACAGGTATCAGACATGCTAGTGGTTAATGTATGGTGTGAGAAACACCGTGAGAGATGGTGAAGGATTACCAGCCTAGTCCAAAAAGAACCTGTAATAAAATGTGCTTACTTCATTGTCAAGTGTGCACATTTTTACCTATTTGCACTCAATTAATATTTAACTTAATTAGCAAAAGTTTCGTTTTGTAAGGCAACGAATGCAGTGGTTAAATGCTCACATTTTCTCGAGAACATATTTCAAAATATCTCTATTTTTTTTACTAGAGATTCGCATAATTGGCGCGAGATTCGCATAGTTTTAAGTCATTTTCAATTTTAACTTATTTCACTATAACCACACTTATTATTTTCATTAATTCAGTAACAAAAAACTTAAAATAAACTAATTTTGTGGCGTTAATGTGTTTAGACTCGTTGATTTTGTAGATGACACCATTACCTTATCACATTTTTTGGTGGGATCACCCATTTTTGCATCGCCTCGATGCAAAAATAGGCGCATATCATTAGTGCTGGAAGACATTCACACCAGCATTTGCCCGAAAGTTGCCCGTCTTATAAGGAAAATAAGGGAACGGGGAAATGTTTTAAGAAATAATAAAGGAACCAATGCATGCAAATTCTGTGTACATTGTGAGCAAGTTGCGATATGTGCCATAGTGAGACATTCATTTTCTTTAGTTCATTATTAGACAAGAGTTCATTTTCTTTAGTTCGCGAGTCTCAACTCAACCAGAGGCAATGAAATTCTATGTTGGTACATTGAAAGAGCGAAGGAAACATTTATTTCTTAATTTCGCCATAAATTGTAATGAAAATCTGTTTTATGAAATCCAAGCAATATTCAACACAAATTTTAAAAAAATTAATCTGTTATAAATGTTCAACAGAGTGCGGCGAAACAGAGCGCCGTGGTTATATTATTAATTAATTTGCAATACATGTGCCATGGTTTGGGCTTCACAACGAGCCGGCCGCATGGCCGCTGTCGGCGCGCCACACCCCAGGTTCTTTTCTGAAGGGTAGGGATGCGCCCGCTTGGAATATCGTCCCGGCCGATTGGGGCGAAATTAGCCGGAGCCTCAACTTGAACTCTCTTCGACCTTGGGCAACTAAGCAATAGCGACGCCAGACGGCTAGACGGTGATTTGTATCTCACTGGCCACCATCTTCGCAGGACACATGGGTTTGAAACAACGAATCGACAGTGGGACATCTGTCGTGGGAGGGAGGAATTTTGAAGTGCCCGTGAATATGCGTGCGCGGGCCTGGGAGGGTCTTCGTGAATGAAGTATTCTCCAAATCAAGTGTAAGGCTATTCCATGTATCTATGTGTGTACAAGTAGTTTACTTGTTTCTTTTGTAATCAAACTCTGTTCACGGTAATTCATATTTTCAAGTAACCAAAATTCCGCCATTTTCCTTCGCTCCTTGGAAATTTTTAGCTATAATGATAGGGCAAATTCGCATACGAAGTATTTGCGTTGTTTCTGCACCGCCCAAGCGCTGACTAAGCCGGGCAGCTTATCAACGGAATGGGATCGGCCTGGAGTGTTTCCAAGCGGGTGATTGCCGTAAAAGAGAAAATTTTTAATTTATGAATACGTTTTTGAAATTGTAATTTCTATCGGATAAAATATATCGGATATAATATGTAATTCTATCGGATATTCAAGTTTTCCATTTTTTTGTTCCGTATGACTTATCACATATTTTTTAATTAAAATTATTATTTTGGGAAGTCTGAGCATTTCAGCTTAGTGTCCTTCTTTTCTCACACGATGGTTATAATTAATTTATTTCGTAAGTACCGACCTGAATGGCCGAGGTGGCTAGAGCATGTGCCGACTCAACGCCTCGGTCGGAAGGGTCACGTATTCGAGTCCCGTCATGGGCATGTTTGCTTCTTCCTTGTCTTTTGTGTATGTGTGATGTCACGGAAGGCCTTATGAGTCTGCTGACCACAGACAGAGCCCGCAAGTTTGTCTAGTGTGAAGGTTAATATGTGCCCCTTGTGGGACACCCGGTGCGGAGAGCCGAAATCAGCATCTCCTGAATCTGTAAAAAGCCCTAGGAAAAAGAAGTGCAGAACTGTGGTTCCGGTTTATTTCCCTGTTGACATTTTCCCGAAAGTGAGGAAGCGCTCACACGCCGCGTCGTGTTTGTGCAGCGTTCGTAATTGAGGGCGGGATGCTCTCATAACGATGTCTTTGGGGCCGCGTCTTCCATTCAGCTTATCGCACGGCACCCGCGGTTATCGCCCAACAGCGATAGTGCCAAGAGATAATACGCTTCGCTATCGCGAGAAGATACGCGGACAGGCGAAATCCGATGATTCTTGGTGGCCTCCAATAATTCTTTCCCCCTCCCTTGTTTATCGATTTCCGCGAAGCCTAAATAGAGGCTATGAGAACAATTTTCCTGGAATGGTGCTCGTACGTCAATAGCGATGCGTAATGGCCATTAGCCGAGTTTGTGGTATTTTATTGAAATCGTAGTAACCAATTTCGTCACGACAGTGTGATCTTTTTCGCCGTAATACTTGTACCGGTGTGAATCAGCTTACCCTGGTGGTGCAAGGGCTTCGGGTATAAACGCAAACGCTCGTTAACCCCTTTAGGTTAGGCATGGATACACCCTGTTTCGCGATATAAAGGCATTCTGACAAACCTAGACATCTCATCCCCATTATAATTCTATCATTACCATCCAATTAACGTGGAAAAAATTGATCAGGAAGGTTTGAGACCGCGGAGACGCCTCCTCTCACTCTCTGCTCGCGGGTTTTTGAGCGCTGAGGTGGGCTTAAGAGGTGTCTCACCATAGTATGACGAGTTGGGAATATAGCCTTCCTCAGACAGTTTGGTGGGGAGAAGGGATGTCATCATGTAACCACCGAATGCCGAAGCGGTACCTTATACACAGCGGTACCTTTTACACCGCTTGTGATCCTACAATGTAGTAAATACGTAATTGTGTGCAACAATAACTTCTACTGTCACATGGGTTTTTTAGCAAGCAAAGCCTAATATTACACATTATACCATTAAAATGCAAATAATCCTCGTACTACAAAGCAATTCAATTTTCTCACACTGAGAAATAACACATGAAAACGATAAATGGGAGGAAAAAGTATTATGAACCCTACCTTTCCATCAGAAAAGATTTCAAGAGCACACGTAAGCGAACACAGACTTTCGATCTGGCTGCAGCAATGCGATTCCTGGGTTTGGCGAGACGCCGTTGTTCTTGAATAAAAATTAGTTTTTCCAAATACTGTAAACCATCTAGAGAAATCAATCTAGCAGTCGTTAAAATTCATTTTTGAAATTTCCCCCCGTGAATGGACGATTTACTTTAATGATTTCGAAGTAGAGTTAATAGCTCACACGTGAACAATTTGGAGAACATTGCTCTGGTTCTGAAATTAGCGTTTCTTTTTCTAGTAGAACATCTTGTCGAAGGTTGATTCTTTCTTTCCCTTGAATTGTTTCATACTTCAATGACAGAGGCTGTAATGTCGTCTAATACTGATTTTTTTACAGATCATTATTTTTTTTGCATATTAATCACTCCACTTCTTTACCTTGTATTAGACAAAAAATGACAAGTTCCGATCTTCATTTGACCTACTCGGAGGAGTTTTCCGTTTCTGTGACATTTTTGTCTCCGCAATAGACAAATTGCTTGATGGCTAGTTCTATAGGAGCGTTTCAACGGACAATGTTGCAACAACTTTAATAATACATGTTGAAGCCTACAGATCAGATTCTAGTCGTCACTAATTTATCAACGAAGTCGATGTCCAGTGACCAAATATTAGTTCAACCTCTTATTTTATTCACGAGGTATGAATGCTATGCCCGTTCAGTCACAATTTCAGTTACGGAAAACTCATCAATGATTATATTTGCGAGTATTAATTCAATTATCGAATGTCATTTCCAATTCCAACTATAAAAAATTGTGGTCAAAACTAATCATTTCAAGGACTATATAACAAAATCACTTCATAATTTCGACACGAATAAAGATCTAGAATTAAAAAAAATATTTCCAAAAGAAAAAGTTTTCAAAGATGTTTTCTTGCAATTTAACGTCACGATTCTACGTTTCGAGTTCCGATGTTGGTTTTCGACACTAGCTGGATGGATAATCCACGAAGGTAGCTCACTGGTCAGCGTGCTCGCTTTCCATGACGCGTTTCCGGGGTCCATTCCCTGTCGAGGCAGATTATAGTGTTCGCTTTCCTTTTCAATGTCCCGGTATCTGTTGTGATACGACGAGAAAGCTAAATTTTCAGATTGAGAAGACCAGAATACGGCGTATAAAGATGTCTCCCCTGGTAGGCCTTGTCCTCATCAGAGGCTGTTGTACCAAGTACAGACCGACAGCCAAGTCGAGTTCAGCCGCTATGGGGAATAGAATTGAAGCTGGCTGGTCTGATCGGTACTTTTTCGGGGTTACTCCGAACGTTGATGGGGGAGTCTCCTAGCAAACCGACCACAGATCGCGCGCGATATTTCCTTCTTATTCCACGCCACCCTTACATACATTAGACACTTACATGTACTACACTTCAATACTTGTCGGAAGCTTAAAGCGTGTCCCGACTGGGAGGGGGGTGCCATGTTGATGGAAGATTATTGGATGGGGAAAGTCCTCAAGCCACAATTCGACACCCAGCGGGGGAAGATCCTCGCCAGCTCGAGTGACAAAAACCTTCATTACACTTACAGGGCTAATACCCACAGCGGTTGATGCGCCCGGAAACATGAAATGTAATCTACGAATCGATCGATCATTGTTGTTCTATCTGCTTGCTCTCAGAATGCGCGAGAACGCGCGACGCCCCGCCCACGCACCGCGTGGGCCAGGGCGGCACCCCGTACATCATCTCGGAGCAGCGGCTGCGCAAGATCCGCTCCGAGTTCCTCTACTGCTTCTTCGACGGCGGCGGCGACGACGGCGAGGGCGACTACCAGAAGAACGTGCACGCCTCCACGCCGCAGGTGCACAAGAACTTCAACTTCCAGCTGCCCTTCTTCGGCTTCCGGTTTAACTACACGCGGGTAAGTGGCACGTTTGCGACGCGCAGGCGGACATACGGAGACAATTGGTTTTATGGATGGCCGGAAGTCGCCACATCGTAGGATTGGCTAACGTTGCGGCCGTCAGAATGCGACATTCTTATCGAGAGAGGTGGCTCAGGGCAACAAATGATGTCACTGGGGTGCCTTTGAACGGGAGTTCCTAGGGTTTGAGTGCCGATGGTGGCAGAATTTTTGGCATAACTAGGTCTAATTTAGACGCTGTTTGGCGGAGAATTCTTGCGATCGGCTACTCTGGTCGGTAGTTTTCCATGACAGGTATCACTCGTCGTAGCACCAGAAAACTAGTTCTGTGAAAAGATCTCTGGAAGGATAATAAAATATTCAGTAAAAATTAAAGCGATATTTGGAAGGATATTGCGAAGGAAAACTCAGTACACTATTTCTATGTTAATTCTGTGGATCCCAATATTCAATAAAAGTAGCTCAATGCGGTACACCGTCCTATGTAATATAAAAGGTGGTCCTGGAAACGTTATTTCTACAGTGTTATATAGATGCGGTGAAGAACTATACTGCGGTGTACTGCGGTATAGAACTGGACTCTTGAGACTCTGCACTGAGCAAACCTTTCCACATTCGTACTCATTTTACGCCTAGAGTGTAATATCTTGGTAGTGGCAGAACGGGTGTTTTGCCGTTTTAAATATTATTTAAAACTAACAAGACGTACAATATTCAGGCAATGCTCATACGTACATTTCTTGTGATGTCATATATTTACCCTTTGTATTGAAGTTGTAATATGGCCTTACCATGCTACATAATCAAAATTGTATATAATGTTTAAATTTTTTAAAAGTTGAGCTTATAAATTATTAACATCTTCTCGGTTAAATATGAGACCTATTCCTTCACAGCGATGTGATTAAGTACATGATCCTACGGTTGCACTAAACTCATGTCACATTCCAGAGTTGATATTTACAATGCATTTGTAACGAAATAAAATATTTTAAAATACTTTTTAAAATTATACTAGGATGTACTTTCGGTTCAACATTTAAATAAAGATGTAAAATTTATTATAGTAAATGTATTAATCTAGCATTGAACTCTGTGACATACATAATACATTTAAATTAAATTGTCCATAGGGAAGGACTAGCCATGATTATTTTTTGTTCATAAAATAATCGAGGCCTCTTCAAGGCGCATCGCGCCATAATCGTTCAATAAACGAGGCCTCTTCAAGGCAAAATCAGCAAATGAAATTCCAATTTTGGCGCCTGTTCAGATTACACGCACATCGCACATGTATGGCAAGTTGCATACCCACGCTTTGTATTCAATGTGAATCCATCGTATACTGAAGATCTCAGAGATAAAACGGGTACATTGGGTTTCCTAACTTTCTCACATCATGCCATCATTTTTTGCCTTTTAACTGAAGCAGTCTTTGCGAAACTCAAATTTCGAAAAGAAATTTCTGTAGGATCGCCCCAGCTTCTCATTTGCTTTATGAAGTCTGTTACTTCACTTACATCCTGTTTGTGTCTACTATACCCATAATATGCCTTCATATGTTTTAAGGTGGTAGTTCGAACTTCACTACATGCTCTTTTACCCGGGGTGGGTTGTCCCAAAGGTACTCGGGGTTCTGAGTTCGCTGGTCCTGCACATCACATAGTGGGAGGTCACTCCCAAAGTAGTGTACCACAATTTTGTAAACATTAAATTTATATTCCATGCCTTTGCTGTTTTTACAGTATGTTGAACGAAAAATCACGTCCCCGCATAATCTCCACCTCTTTCTACTTCCTTTCGACATCTTTGAAGTAGGCATGTATAACCGCACGGTAGAAGCCTGGGTCAGCAAGTCTGAGCCACTGTTTAGAAGCCTTAACAATGGAGTCATCGTAACCTGGACCCCCCCTGACAGAAGTCCTTTTCAATTGCAGTTTTTTCAATATTCTGCCCATACTCGCTTTACTTATGTCCACTTTTATTGACTATTTTTTCACGGTTACACTTTTGTCAGCCAAAATGACGGGAATGAGCTGCATATTGCCGCTGTGATATTAATTAATTCGTATTGTTTTATTATGTAAACATTACTCGTTAGGGGAAAAGCCATCATCAATAAAAATCCTTACTAGCCATAGCCTCGTAGAGCGGTTAATTTTCAGCCAACGACGGGAAACATGGTGTGGTAGTCGCCCTGAAATAGTAAGTGTCAAAACGCCGTTTTATAATAATCGAGCTAGCCAAATTGCTAATTAAATGGGAGATAGGGAATAGGTAAGGAGAAAGATTGGGAACATCACAATATGAAGGATAAAATTGCTTTCTTGGCTGTTATTAAAATCAGAATTAAAATAATAATCATATCTACATGCGTATTTCGAAAGAGTACCCATTTTTCCAGCATTCTTTTGCAGTGAGTTTACAGAGGTTCTTTAACAAATTTATGGGTTTTAGAAGAGTTTATATAATTAAACCTTCGGCAGTTTCTTTGACATTCTTATTGTATTTGATCACAGGGTACTTGGTGAGTGTTTTGTACAAATTCACGAGTTGAGAAATCTTGACCGATTTTTCTGTTTGAACACCCACAGTTTATCCTTCCCTGAAGAATAACCTGTAAGGTATTGTGTCAGATTTAAAATGAACTGAAGCCAAAAAATTTCACGATAAAATGATAATCCCAACTCAATATTTCAAAGCCCTCACTAAGAAAACGTAAGTGAAGTAACTAATTAGATGACCTACCGCTTATTCCCCGCTACAAGGCAGACAACGCCCCATCTGATTGCAGGTGTCCCTCAACGGTTACCTGGAGTTCAGCGACCCCCCAGAGCACTACACCTACCCGCTGGTGTTCCCGAACAAGGACTGGCCCACCAAGAACGACCCGTCCTTCATCGGCATCTTCTTCAGCAAGATGCGCGTGGGCAAGATGCGGCCCGACGACATCGACCAGCGCAAGGCCGGCGTGTACTTCCGGCTGGAGCGCGACCTGCAGACGCGCGTCGACCAGTTCGGCGTGGAGATGCGCGAGCGCCTCATGTGGGACGTGCGCGAGGGCGTGGTGGGGGCCGACACCTTCGAGCCCAAGCACGCCGTCATCGTCACCTGGAAGAACGTCTCCTTCGCGGGCGGCATCGACAACGCGCTCTACAGGGTAATGTGCCTTTATGGATACTAATTAATTGTTTCTATGCAATTAGAGACCATACTGATTATCAAAACGAAAAATAATGCTTCTTTTAACAAAACAGTGATATATAATGAATTAGTTTACATTTGTATTTTTTAATAGACTTAATATGTTTGTAACAAATAATGTACTTCAGCTTCCGGGTCAATGACCCCCATCACGATCAGGTTTTTGTCCAGTTTCCCTGATCAATTGAGCTAATGCTCAGATGGCCTCTTGTTTTGCTTCTGGACGTAAATGTAGCTTCACTACGCGCACGTTTTGTTGAATTCTCCTATTGCTTGTAATGGTAAGAGTAGAGGTAAGGGCGAGTTACTATTTTGTTAGCAATGCAAAAAAAATCATGCTTGCAATTCGTTTACCGATGCAAATAAGTTTTCTATAACTCGGAAGCGAAAATGTCTATTTTTCCAAATATTGCTAATCTTGCGATTTTTAAAATGTATTTTTAAAATTTATTTTTATTTACTTACGTTAAACTTTTACGCATCTTTCAATATATATAGTTAAAATGACGGGAAGAAAACGTGCGCAGATAATCTTCTCTCCCATACGTCACATTGAGTTTTTACTATTTTTTTTTACTAAATAAATCTAACTCTAAATTACTTGTACAGAGTGGCAACTTTTGTTTCTTAAACAATTTATGAGTCGCACTTATATATCCAGAAGAGCATCTTCACAGAAGTAGCAATAGAGCTTGAAGAAACAAATGAGTTACGAAATAACACGTAATTCACGATAGCTGGGAGACTAGTTTATATAACATTGGCCGACAAAGGAAGACTCACGACGCAGCAGCGCGAAATGAATGTACATTTTGTTGTTAAATCAAAAATTTATTGTTAATACAAACTCAAAGAAACATATAATACAATGAAAACCACTCTTTGGAGAATTCTTCTAACACAGCACATGTTCAAAATGTTTACCTTTTCAATTCACAACTGTAACAATTAACTTCAAACCAAACGTAGTGTCTCATCATTATCGATACTGACGTTATCGATAATCATCCAACACTAGTCTTTTGTGATGCTTGAATACCAATTCGTCTGAGCTCAATTTAATCATGTGGGCATATTGGGATATTTTTCACTTTAGATACCTCCAAAGAAAAAAATCACATAGGTTGAGATCTGGACTACTAGGGGGCCAAAATTGTCCCACATTGCAACGACCTAGAAATCTGACTGAAATGAATCCCATGTCGAAACACTCGGGTAAGAAATCTAAATTGATTATTCAGTCAATTAATAATTCTCTTTCAAGGTGTCCATCGTGTGTCAAACTGTTGTCGAAAACGCCTTTGAGTCACAAGACGTTTTGTTACATAGAAGAGAAACGCAGCTGCCGACCAAGGCTGCGTCGTTAGTCTTCCGTTGTTGGCCATTGTTATATAAATTAGTCTCTTAGCGGCGGACGTGATATTTTGTAACTCAATTGTTTTTCCAAGCGCTACTGCTGTTGACATGATCAACAAGATACCTAGTGCGACACATTAATTATGTAAGAAACAAATGGTGACACATATCGTGGTCCACCTTGAATTATGAGTTATAAACTTTTTGGACATGCGGAGAGTGGAAGATGATCACATTTTGCCAATAAACATGAAGTGGAAAATATCATAAGACAAAATGTGACCATCTTCGACACTTCTACGTGCCCTAGTATTTCATAACATTTATTACGAATCATCTTGTATAGCATCTCTGCCGCCCTGAATGGCCGAGGTAGCTCGAGCGTGTGCCAACTTAGAGCCTTGATCCGAAGGGTTACGGATACGAGTTCCGCCGTGGGCATGGTTTTTTGTCGCTTGTCTTTCATGTATGTGTGGTGTTACGAAATGCCTTGTGAGTCTGCTGATCACTGACAGGGGAGCCCGTACGTGTGTCTAGTGTAATATGTGTCCCAATGAGGGACATAGTGGGCTCCGAGCGCAGATAGCCGAAATCGGCATCCCTTGATGTTAATGAAACAATGCACAAGGGTTAATGTCTTGAAAAATACTTTTCATGATTTTTATGGAAAATTTCTTCTGCATAGTGTAAGCCATTTGCTTCATCTGTCTCCCTTATCGACGACAACTAATGAGAGTTGATGAAAAATAACACTAATAATGAATTATGAAAACTATGAATTAATGATAAGACAGTTATTCTGTTTGTGAGAGATATTAAGTGAGTAGGTGAGTGTTGCAAGTTAGTGGTTGTATGAGTGAGATGGTGTGTGTGTGAATGAATAAGCGAGCTCTTGTGTAAGGTGAGTCAGTGGGTGCTTAAGTGAGAGAACTAAACATGGTAGAATAGAAGAAGGATTTTGATTAATGAATGCTAAATTTTATTCAAAATCAAGGCAAAGTGACTGAATGGTTGTATAAAGCATGACTGGAAATTAATGAATGAAAATGGATAACGTATAAATATCTACGAATTATATTATTTTAATGACCAAAATTCATCACAAAGAAAAAAAGAACCATGTCGTGGCATATTTTATGTATTTCATTCTTCATGTAATAATTAAAATTTAATTATTTTGATGTTGTTTCTACAGACTAACACTTTCCAACTGGTTTTGGCTACCGATGAAGTGTACACATACGCCATCTTTAATTACGTGGACATACAATGGACGAGTCATACGGAGGCAGGCGGTGATACCACTATTGGAGAAGGCGGAGTGCCTGCTTACGTGAGTAACCACATTCACAAGCACCCATTTGTTTTCTACATCGTTTACTGTAATGATATTCATTACCAGTATTTTCATTCTTTATGTCAATAGATTAGAAGTGGTTTGTTTGATATTTTCTGCATATAATTGATACATATTCCACGTTAACAAATATAGCATTACCATATAAAGAAAACAATTATTGTAAATGGGGAGAATGTATCACTAGACATTTAAATAATAATTAATTATCAGGGAATTCCATACTTATATCAAGTTGTTTGAAAATGTTTAAGTGGCTTCCTACTGGATCACAACTTCGAACGGTCAGCCCTTAAATTTGCATGTTAATGAGTTATAGGCCAATCATCACAGGCATATACGCGCGTCAATTTAATTTTACGGAGCTTCTACTCGATTATGACCATCAATTCAAGCTACGTAATGGGGGGATCCAGAGGAGCCAAATCTCCTAAAATGAAAAGAAGGCTCAAAAGGGTCTCAGTTTTTAGAATACTGCTTAAAGAAACATAATTCCGGCGCCATGTTTCCCTGCACGTGTTTTTATCACAAAATACTTGTATTACTGCGGCATATGGGGCAGTTTCTTCCCTTCCGGATGAAATATAAATTTCTGAATACTAGAATACCAAGAAGAATAGAAACCCTCGAAAAATAATAGACGAGTTCCAATGATTTTTCAAAAAAAATGTAATCTCAAAAGGAACAAAACTTTTTAAATTACTGCTTTAAAAGTGGAAATTGCTTTTGCTAAAACTCAACTTTCAGCGCTTCTGGAAATCCGTGTTACGGGGTGAAGGATCCTAAAAAAAATATCAAAATAGATATCATTTGATTAACTACGGTATATAAAATTTAAATCGTGTGCCCAAGGAACTGGATGTTAAGGCGTTTGGACACATCGTTTTGGACAAAACAATTAGCCGGAATCAGAAAAAGCTGGTCATATTTTGGACACAATATTATTTTACGGCGCTTTAGGCCAGTTCCGTTCTTGGCACAACATTCACAAACTCCTTCCCACCAGCCTTTCTCACTGTACATTTAGAACATATTTTTCGAGGTCTTGGGCTAATAACAAATCGAAAGGAACATTTCGCAGGTTTGAAGATGTTCTGGTTTTCTCATAATTTTATTCCATTACCAGAATTCTATATTCTGCTCATTGAAGTTGTCAACTATTTTCTTGTATTCTAATGGGTCAACATGTTTTAAATTTCTAGGAATCTAGGGAAAAGAATAATGACAATTTTTCAGTGAACACGTAATGGGAAATCTCATTTAACGAAGCTACACCTGTATTGGTGTTGTGACTCAATTTTGCGCCTCTGCTGATAGGCAATCCGTCTTGCAGAACTGTTTGGCAGCTAAACAAACTCCCAGGGAACGATCGAAACTATAATATCGGTTTTAATCTTAATTGTTCAGCATTGACTGCGTGTAAAGGTGTATTGGGAGGAGTACTGTAAAGGTGCAATGAGACATAAACAAAGAGAGATTATGGGAAAGAAACGCAAAGAGAGAGAGAGAGAGAGAGAGAGAGAGAGAGAGACAGAGAGACGGAGACGGAGAGAGACAGAGGTACAGAGAGGCTTTCAGACGAGGACTGCGACTCAGAGGCAGAGGCAGAGGTAGACAGGGACAAATCATATATGATGTTTTTCAAAAGTTCAATATTTTTCTGTGAAAAGAGGTTCAAATTTCGCATTCACAGTAACGCTTAAACACCATTTTCTTAAAAACGTCTCCAAAGTTTTCAATGAAAATTGCCATTGAGGACGAGATATTCCTCCTTTTTAATATTCTTAAAGTAATAATTCTGTTCTATTACTATAAAGCCGAAAAATTGAGAAAATTTTAAAAAATGTGCTTTGGACGGCAATAGATGGCAGCTGGCAAAGAAGACGCGGCAAGTCAGAATAACTAGCCCAGACAAAAGAAAATAGAAAAATAACATGAGAAAGTTTGTGCTATTTTGTAGCATCACTAGTTTTTCTGCGACGCGTCGAGCTGATATGCAAAAACTGACTTATGTGTAACTTCATTATAAAAGATTTTCCACCACATGTTCTTTGGCAAAAAGTGATCATATTCGATTCCGTACAAATCTTACACATTTGTAACATTAATTCTAAGACATTGAGATTACTGTTTTTTCGGTCCATAGTTCAATGTTCTCGCTCAGTCTAGTTCACTATTTCGAAGCAGTAGGCGCCACTAAACAACCTGTTCTCGTTCTAACACTATTAAAAATATATTCTAGTTTTAAAACATATAAAAGGAATTTGCAAAGGAAGGTCCACGGTTTAGTACCATTCATATATATATATATATATATATATATATATATATAAATATATATATATATATCATATATTATTATATATATAACTTCCTATTAACAAACCGTCAAATAACCTCGTAAATTTAGTATGCTGCGAAAGGGAAAGGGGGGATTATACCCCCCTTCCTCCGGTCCTGAAACAAAATATTTATGATGAAAAATAAAAGTTTCGCAGATTATGGTAGATAGAGTTCGGGTGTGAGGTTTACTATAAAAAAAACATTATTTTTTAAAATGCGAAGAGTTTGCCGGGTACACCTGTGTTGTTGTTATTTATTTATTTATTATTATTATATATTATTATTATTATTATTATTATTATTATTATTGACGTACAGACCATTACTGACTACGCTACACGATTAACGTGTGTAATTTTTCCAGGATCAGCTTTTCAGCTGTATTCCTCTGCACGACAAGGTTGTTACGTCTTGAAGTGTGAATTATGAAATGATAGGATGATGATGATGATGTTGCCACGGGACTGAATTTATTATTATTACTATTATTATTATTATTATTGTTATTATTATTATTATTATTATTATTATTATTACGCAGGTGGGCTTCAACGCGGGCAACGGCACGCGCAGCTACCAGTACGAGCCGTACTCGCAGGCGTCGACGCTGCGCGACCTGACGGGGCGCGGCTGGGGCAACGGCTTCCCGGGCCGCCACATCTTCCGCATAGACGAGCGCATCATGCTGGGCAACTGCAACAAGGACATTGGTCAGTGCGCACACCGCAGTCATGAGCAGACGAAGCGCGCGGTTTGAGTTCCCGATGGACGTTATACTCCCTCCCCCAAAAAAATTGGTTAACAAAATTACATATTATTAAGTTGATCTTGACCTCGTGATATAGATAAATGGGGAGAATAGTGAGGGTAGGTCAATAAAAGTGTGTTTCTTTACGGTGCCAAAGTTTCGGCTATTTATTTCGCCTATTCCAGGGATGTAGGTACATATGTGTATTAGTTGACATATGTATTATACATTTTATGATTAATTTATAGACCTACCTTCACGATTCTCTACATGTATCTATAATAATATATTATTTTATAATATATTATTTTATATTTATTTTGTTCACTAATGTTAGTGCTTTAATATCATTAGGACCCCCTCCCCATAATTTGGTCATTTTTAAGGTCTCTTACGAAATTAATCTCTCTTAGAACTGCAATTCAAGTATTGACAACAAGTCTACAAACATGGGAGAACACTTTAATTGTAACATATTTACAAGATCATTTGCTTCATAATGTAATTTGTTGGAATGCTGAATATATGACGTAAATATGTAGAATCACCCTGCGGATGCAATTGTGAAGGCAACTAGAAGAGAATGGTATCGGCTTAAGGTCACGGTATTGTTGGGGTACAGAACAATAGTGTTAGATCATTTTACATTAATGAAAGTAATTTCATTAATAATATGCAATAAACAGTGTAACTACTGAATTCTGGATTGGGCGTATTTATTTTTAGTCATTTTAGTTATTTAATTAAATAAAATAAGTGAATAATAGGTTTTAAATGTAATTTTGATAACAATATGAATTATTAGTATTTTACTCGTGAAATAATGACAGATTGCTTCTGTTAACCCCCTTTATTATATTTTTCAAAAGTATTCTGTTATAAAATGTAGAAATTAATGGCAAGTTGTTATTGTTATTATTATTACAAACAGATTATTAGTGATTTTGTGTAAGTTGTTTCTTAATGATCGTTTTTTCTACGCTGCAACTTGTTTTGAAATATTCAGTAATGTTTTACTATTGGAATGATTTTAAGATTTGAGAATGTGATTTTGTTTTTTAAGACAGTTTGTGATTTTTATTTGAAATAATACTTTTTTAATAAAATAATGTACTAGACAACAGATCCTTACCCCCACATACTCATATGGCAGTGTTTTGCACTCATTTTTTACGCACTAATGGAGCATTGCGACCAGCCGAGATGACTCAGTTTCCACAGTGATTGCCGCAGCAGTATCTCTGACCGGGAGGTCTTGAGTTTGTGATCCAGTGACAGATTTTGAACGTTAGCTAGAGATCTAACACTAAGTTGAATTCAACGACTCTCTGCAGGGGGATTCTTGCTGTCGGAGCTCTACGGGTATATCAGCTCCGGATGTCATGTTCCACCGGGAAGGAACACCCCTACTTTCCGCTCATAACGTATATTCATTGATTGGTTACTAGTGATTCGGAGTCCTTCAACGACTAAGGTCATCCCCGTAAGTGTAGTGGATGTTTTGTCTCGGGGGAGGAGGATATCTCTGGATGGCGACATCCGGCGCCAACCTACCGATGGCTAGCGCAGTTTTCCCTTACCAGGTATCTCCCACCAGCGACGCACCGCTCCCCTGAGCCGAGTCAAGCCCTAAGCTTCCAATCGGTCTTCTGGCATGAGTGGTAGTGTAGTGCATGTTAGTGTAAGTGTGTGTAAGTAGGAGGTGAAAATAGGACAAGGAAGAGGTAGCATACAACGCTTGGATCGTGGCCCATTTGATAGGGTACTGCTCCGGTATTTGCCTGGTGTTGGTCGGAGAAACCATGGAAAATTCCAATCAGAGCAGCCGGCCTCTAGAATTTTCTTTCAGACAGTAAATCCGGCAGTGCTGATAAGCTAGTACCGCACTGGTGGGACTCGAACTCGAGAATCGGTAGTGGGGTGACATCAGTTGAGCTATCTCTCCTAGCACGAATATTTAACTCCTGGAACTAATGACCAAAGTAGTTGACGCTTCTAGAAACCCTAAATACTCCCTCCTTTTCTAATGACGCCATTGTGTTCCTGCAGCTGGCACTGATTTGGAGCTGACGTTCGCTCCGGAGAGCGGCAATATGCTGGGAGGGACCGTTGTCAACATCACAGGGCCCTGCTTCGAGCCAGACATGAAGATCCGATGCAAGTGAGTGTTCGAA